TGCCACCTGATCGATCTTCCCCTCTAGGGCAACCTCGAGCTATCTGAGTCCCATCCCGACCTAGCTGAGCGGTTGGTGAAGTAACTGGTGCAGAAATCATAGCCTGGCCGTTCTGTTGAATTCGACCTCCCAAAAGACTAGGACAATACCTCCTCACATTCCCCAACTCTTCACACTCGAAGCAACCTCGATCCGATAATGGCGTCGGGGACTGAATTGGACCTTGAGAACAAAAATAACCACTAGAAGAACATGGCATAGACGAACCCTGTACTGACGGAGCATGGGATAAACTCGGAGCTGGGAGGGCACTAAAAGATGACTGGGCAGGACGTGCACTATATGAACCATGGCTAGATGATGCACTACGATGAACCGGACTAGCCATTTGAGTGGGCCTATAAGGACGAACCCTGATGTGGTAGGACTGTCCTCCAGATGAGGCACTACTAAAACCACCTGAACCACGAGGCCTCTTGGCCCCCCTCTCCTCATGATCCTGACTGCGAACCAACTCTAGGCGTCTAAAAATATCAACCACCATGTCAAATCTCGCACCCCTCGCAATCTCCCGAGTCATGATGAAATGTAATCCATAGGTGATGCCATCAATGAACCTCCTAATACTCTCCCTCTCAGTGGGAACCCACCATATCGCATCACGAGCCAACTCTGAAAATCTCATCTCATACTGAGTCACTGACATACCCTTCTAGCATAGCTGCTCAAACTGCCTAGGCAACTCCTCTCTGCGAGTCTGTGGAACAAACTTCTCTAAGAAGAGAACTGAGAACTCATGCCACGTAAGTGGTGCAGCACCAGCTGGTCTGCTAAACTCATAGGCCTCCCACCATCTGAAGGTTGCCCCAGTCAGCTAAAAAGTAGTAGATGAAACTTTATAGATCTCAAAAATACCCGTTATGCGAAGGATCCACTAACAACTATCTATAAAATCCTGAGCATCCTCTAACTCGGCCCCGCTGAACTTAGGAAGTTTAAGCCTTCCAAACATATCTAGTCTCTTCTACTCCTCAGCACTAATAGGTGGGCCAACCTGGGCCCGAGCAGCTGCAACCGGCTGGGCTGGTAGTACCCCCGGTGTCTGGAGTCTCTGAGCTACCTGCTCTGGAATACGAGCGGCGGGAGTCTGAGTACCTCCCTCGGCCTGAGAAGTGGTTGGTGCAGCCGGAACCGAAATCGCCTGAGCAAGGCTCGTGCATACAGTCAATATCTGGGCCAAAGCCTCCTGAAGGCCTGGGATCACAACCGGCACAGCTGGTGCCTGAGATGGTCCCACCGGCTCGACCACATCTAGTACCTACTCCTAAGCTGGAGCAACTGGTGGCTCTACATGTGCTGCTCTAGATACAGTACGAGCTACACCTCGGCCTCTATCGCTGCCCCGGCCTCTTGCGACCCTAACTGGTGGTATTAGTGGTCGTCCGCCTGATCCGATAGCATGTGTTCTCACCATCTCTGAGAGAATAGAAGTTTAGTTTCTAGAATCAACAAATCTGCATGACAAAAGTACAAGAAAGTGAAGTTTCCTAAAGGTATTGTAGCCTCTCGAAGATAAGTACACACGTCTCCGAACAGCTCCGTATGACTCTACTAAATCTGATCATGACTCGTGAGACCTAAATAACCTAAGGCTCTGATACAAACTTATCACGAAACGTACCAATTCCTAATTCAAAATTCACCAAATTTTATCTCAAAAATTTATAATCTGGGTGGGAAAATCAATGGGTATTCAATATAAATGAACAAAAGTGATCAAAAGTTGCTTACCTCTTGAAATATAGTGAAATCCCTCTCAAAATGTGCCACAAGCCGAGCTTCCAAAGTCCAAAAATGAGAGAAATCTCCAAACCCTCCACTATATCATTATGTCTAGCTTTCCCGCTTCTGCGGGCTCACCAGCCACATCTGCAGCTCCGCTTATGCGGAAATTCCTTCGCTTCTGTAAAATTTCATTAACCTTCCCGACCAGCCGCTTCTACGGCCAAATCCCGCTTCTGCGGTCCAAGGTCCTCTCCTGCGGGATCACACCTGTGGAGCACTCTCTGCTTCTGCGACAACAGCATCCCCGTCCAAAATCTCCTTGTGCGACCACCAACCCGCATTTGCGAGCTCGTAGGTGCGGAAACAACCTCGCACCTAAGACTACTACCTAGCCTTGCCTAATTACGCATTTGCGCTTTCCTGGCCGCTTCTACAGCTCTGTACCTCCGGCCAAATCCTTGCAGGTGCGGTTACACCAGATCTGTTGCCATCAAAAATTGCATAGGTCCAATTCTCACTCCGATTTCAATCCGAATCAAACCCAAGGCCCCCGGGACCCCATCCAAACAACCAACACAACCTAATACATCATACGAACTTAGTCGAAGCCTCAAATCACATCAAAACATGAATCGCACCCCAATTCAAGCCTATTAAAACTAATAGATTTCCAACTTCTAAAATTAATGCCGAAACCTATCAAACCAATTTTGGTTGACCTCAAATTTTGCACATAAATCATAAATGATACAAAGACCTACCCCAACTTCTGAAACCAAAATCCAATCTCGGTATCAATAAAGTCAACTCTCGGTCAAACTTCTAAACCTTCAATTTTCCAACTTTCGCCAATTCAAGCCAAAACGACCTACGGACCTCCAAATCAATATCCGGACATACCCCTAAGTCTAAAATCATCATACGGGGCTATCGGACTATCAAAATTTTATTCCGGAGTCATTTACACATAAGTCAGCATCTGGTCAACATTGTTTAATATAAGCTTCCAACCTTGGGACTAAGTGTCCCAATTCATTCGAAACATCCTTGGAACCAAACCTACCACCCCGACAATTCACATAATCTTAAATTAACATAGAGTAAGCAATAAATGAGGGAACTTGGCTACAATACTTAAAACGATCGGTCTGGTCGTTACAAATATTTCATGCATATCTTTTCTATATGCAAGGGTTGGAAGATTACTTTATATTTCATCCATATCTTCTCTATATGTAAGCTTTAATGATTTAAGGATGTTAGGCACATATATTCTCTATATGTTGAGTTGTTAAACGGGTACGGTACCTATGCATACCTTCTCTATATGCAATAGTTGATGTGTTATCTGATATCAATTGTGTATCTCATTTATATGATAAACTATTATAAGACTTGTGCACATCTCTTTATGTGCACTGATTGGTTGTACCTGTATTTTATGTTTAGGTTTCAATACTATTGTTGGTTATGTGTATATGTTTTTTAGTTGTACACGTTATATAAAGTGAGTATTCTCGACCTGAGACCACATCACTACTTTACCGAGGTTAGTCAGGATACTTACTGAGTACATGGGGTCGGTTGTACTCATACTATACTTTTGCACCTTACGCACAAATCTTGGAGCTGAGTTGTTGTGGATGACGGAGGCTAGCATTGAATATGTACCTGTGTCCCGGATATAAGCTACCACTTGTTCTTGGTAGTTTAGCATTTGTACTTCTGTTTTTGTTTATTCAAACAGATGTTATATTTATTCTTCATATCAGCTTTATAAATCTAAATCTTAGTGGCTCATTACTTGTACTCCAATCCTTGGGGTATTTCTATGAATTTTCACCTTCTCATTTATTGCTATTGATGATCTTTCATCTGAGTTGTATTATTCATTGTTAGATCACCTAGCATGTTGAGGTTAGGTACCATCACGACTAGGTGAGATTTGTAGTCGTGATATAAAATGGGACAAGGAAATATGTAAAGGAAAACATGAAAGAGTAATATACAATGTCATATTAGAAGGCATTTAATAAAGCAAACATAATAGAACTTTAATCTTTTAAAAAAAAACTTTTTCTTTGTAGGTGAGAGCCCCTAGCGTCGATATTATAATATGTCACCATTTATACATATATGGAAGTCGAGCCCCTCTCGCGTGACTAGGTGTTGCCACCACCATGCCGTGTGGTTTTGACCATTTGCTAGCAATCATGAGTCTCAATCAAGGGTGCATATATATGCATAGTCATCCAGTCCACGCCATGGTCTGACCAATTACCTATTCTGACATGTGTCATTTTGGGTTTGGACTACTTTTTAAACCTTTACGACTCTCTAAAGATACTCCCAAAAAAATCTCTTTTTTGTTTTGCATTTCTTGGCCTTAAATCATAATAGATAGCACTTTTGGCCCTAAGGTCATAAATATTTAAGTTAGGCTTAATAGCCATATGCCATTTCATAAACATTTACATTAATGATTCAGAACCATAAAGTTACATTTAAATTCTAGGAAGGCCTAAACATCATGTTCATTTATATTTGAAAACTAGAAACATTTATAGCATTTTCCAAGTAAAAACGTAGCATATGAAACGATAACTCTAGTAGAAAACACATGGATATCATATAATTACTTGTCAGCTATAACTATATGCTAACAATTTAAATACTATTAAGAGGGTATTTGAATTTACTTTTATGCTTGTCAAACTAGCTTTTAAGCTATTTTAAACCTTTTTTAGTGTTTGAAAAAGTTAGAATGTGCTTAAAATAAGCCAAAATGCTTAAAACAAGCTAAAAGTCACAAGCTGGGTAACCCCAACTTATTGGCTTTTAGCGTAAAAGCTATCCATGTTTGACCAAGTGATTTACTGTCACGGCCCAAAATCTCAATCCACGGGATCGTGATGGTACCTAATATCGCTTTCTCGGCAAGCTAATATATAATGATAAATACGAAAGAAAAGAATCTAACGGATAACAGCAAAATGATAATATAGAGTAAAAATATCTCAACAACATACATAAAAAGCTAAATATCAACAGTAACGATTAACTACCCCAAGACGTGGAGTCACACGTACATGAGCTACTAGAGTTTGCTAAATACATTGTCTTGAAAGAAATACAATACTATCTGAAAAATAGAAACAGTACATTAGAAATGAAAAGATGACTCTAAGGCCTGCAAACGGCATGCAGCTCTACCTCGAATCATCTGTCAGGTGTTTGCTAAGCACCTCTCGAGACTCTACTGGTACCAATGTCTAAATCTGCAATACCGATCCAATAAACTCCGTAAGTACCGAGCCTAACCTCGACGAGGTAGTGACAAGGCTAAGACAAGACACATACATAAAACTTGTGCAGTTAAGTAGCTAGAAATAACGAGATGCCAATTAACATATCAAGTAAAATAATACGAAAATAACATGTAAGAGAGTTAACAAGTACATAGGTAAAGGGATATAAAGCGAGAAAATAAGCAAAGGTAGTACGAAATAAACCACCACTCATACCTCTACAACAATTCGGAACAAATCTTGCAAAGATGATTTCGGAGCAATAAGGCCAAATTCTCAGTCAGTATAGCAAAATAAAGAACACATTACCAACAAACGATACGGTATCACCTTTCGTGCTTTTACTCTTAACCTCACAACATAATGTAGTAGCTAGCACGGAAACACCCTTCATGCACAGTCACGCTTCGTCACAAGCACGAAAATACCCTTCACGCATTTTACTCTTCCTCACCAAACATCACATATAAAACAATACCAAGTAATGTAGGAAGCATAATCAACATCAAAGATAATATTTGAATATACCGCGCCATAAGAGAATTTACAAACACCATTGCACCAATAAATAAATCAACAATTCGATAGTCTTAACACCCAATATCTCAATAAGCTCAACATGGATAATAACATGGATAGAGAAATTAAACTGTTTCACAGTCTATCTAAAGCATGGAAGACATAATACATAAGGTAACATAGTACAAATAAAGATAACACTACCCGCATGCTTAATCTACGGCCAACGCATGTACACTCGTCACCTTGCATATACGCCCCCCGCCATAAGAGAATTTACCAACACCATTGCACCAACAAATAAATCAACTATTTGATAGTCTTAACACCCAATATCTCAATATGCTCAACATGGATAATAACATGGATAGAGAAATTAAATTGTTTCACAGTCTATCTAAAGCATGGAAGATATAATACATAAGGTAACATAGTACAAATAAAGCTAACACTACCCGCATGCTTAATCCACGACCAACGAATATACACTCGTCACCTTGCATATACGTCTCCCTTCCTCCCCCAAACATGTATATCACGTAGTAAATAGACTCAATTATACTCTAATTCCCTCAAATCAAGGTCAACCAAGACACCTCTTTCCGAAATAAGATCAACAATCCAACACGGCCTTCCCTTTGGAACAAGCCTCCAAACCATCCGAATCTAGTCAATTATTACTCAAATAAGTCAAAACAAGCTTTAGAAACTACCCTAGTATCAAAAAGGTTGTATCTTCAACATAAATAAAAATTCAACATGGGCTCACGTAGCCAAAATTCAAATTTAAGACCAAATAGCGATTACCCATTCACCCCGAGTCCGAATATGTGATTCGTTTCGAGACCCGACTCCGATTTGAGGTGTAAATCTCAATTTTACAAAATTTCTAATTCCTACTCAAAATCACTATTTCTACTTTATGAAATCTTAGATTTGATAGTGAAATAAAAACAAGTCAAAGTTGTTAACCTATGAAGTTGGGAAGAGTTTTTCCTCCAAAAATCGCCTCTATGGAGTCTAGGTTTCAAAAATAGTGTAAAATGAGCTAAGTCCCGAAATCTAAATCTTTTACCCAGCTGTAGGTATCGCAATTGCGAACTCTTGTTCTCAATTGCGATGTTCGCAAAAGCGAACCACTGATCGCAAATTTGAACAGTGTCTGAGCCCCTCAGATGTTACAACTCCCAACCATATAATTTCATCAATTAAATCATTTCTCATTCTCTACAACAACCACCAATTAAGGTTAGAAACTTATGGATTCTTATCACAATCCCATAAGTTCTAACATTTTTTTACACATATAATCACAATAATCTATGCATGTAAGTTTAAAGGTGTAAAATAATCTAGAAAACCCCTAAAACAATTCCTCATTTGAGCTCTTGAGCTGATTCTTGAAAACTCTAGACGTTCCATGAGTAGAAGATGTCAATTTTTGTAAAAGAAATGTGATAAGTGGTGATTTACCACTTAATATAGTCCCTTTCTCTAGTTTTTGTATCTTTTAATTATAATATGAGGTTATTTATGGTGTGTATTTCTAGATTTTCAGGTAAAATAGTCGTGAAGAGAGTTGAGATCAAATGAAGTGGAATTAAGCAAAAATATTTGAAGAAGTGCAAAATTTATCCAGTGGTCTTGCATTTGTGGGATACTTATCGCATCTGCGCACTCGCATCTGCAAGTTGAAGATTGCATATGCGGAAAGGGCAACATCTATATAGGCATCATACCTGCGCAAGTTCCTCCGCATCTACGGAGTCGCCTCTGCGCTTGTTGACCGTATCTGCGTAAGCGCTTCTGCGTTTCAAAGTCCGCTTCTGCGGAATGCCAATTTCTCACAAGACTTCGCACGCGGCCAACATGCTTCAGTTCTGGGCAAATTTGCCATTTCATATTTTCTTGATCCCAAACCCACAAAAACTCGACCTAGCTCATCTTTGGCACATATTTGACATTCTTGACTGAAATACAAGCATTGAATCTAGGGTTCTTGCACTTACACTTGGGAATTGAAGATTTGAAGACTTTAGATGAGATTTTCTTATCCTTTTTACTCATTTCTTCAATTTTAAGTGTGTAGTATTTATTCCAATACTTGAAACTTGTTTATGAAAATATTCATTGTGAAAGTTTGGATTAAATCTCTTGTTATGCTCATGTAGTGAATGATTTTTATTAATTATGAATTGAGTTATTATTTCTTTAATTATTCTTGTTCTTTAATTTTTTTCAAAGGGATTAGCTAACCCTAGGACTCGCCCATTAACTTCGAAGTAATTCTTGGAAAAGGCAAACTCGGGAGTGGGAAAGATTAATTAACAAGAACTTGAGGCGTTAACCCTCATTTTATAGATTTTACGTAGGGATAGGATTGAACTACTTGTAGCCACATTCCGATGTACTTATCCTCTTAATTGTTTTAGGGATAATTCATTTAGGATGTCTTGTTTAAACTCGCTTATATTTGTAAAATCGTAAAATATATTGGATCGTTACTTGAGTGTACTTCCTCTTATATCCAAAGTTGTAGCTATTGATCATTTTACTTTCTTTCAAGGCTAGATTACATATTCGCATTAGTTATAATATTTTCTTAAAACCCCTATCAATGTTTGGCTTAGCATAATAAGCGATAATTTTCTTACTTGCCTAATCGCCTACATATTGTTCCCTGTGAGATTCGACCCCGACTCATAGTTGAATAAATTATATTGCATGCGACCGTACACACTTACTCTTTGAGGAGTGGATTTGGACGTCATCATCTTACCATTGTAAGACATCAAAAAGCTTTGGAGTTTTACCTCTCCGTAAATTTCTCTTATTTCACTTTGTTTTCTGTAATTTTATAACATTGTATATGTTGTTACGTTTGTCTCTAAGTTCAGATCACATGCTATTGCTTGATACTAGCATACATATTTTATTCTTAAGTATATTTATGCTCTGTTAAACTTCATTTGATTTTTCAAAATCCACATTCTCAAAACTCTATCCCTAAAAGTATCATTTAATCTCTTTAGGTAGCTTCAGCATTGTATTTCTGTACTCGTCTTTTGTTCCTCAATCTGATTTCTACTGACTATTCTGGCTTGTCAACCAGGAGATGGATCTTGACGACACAAAATCAAAACTTCTACCTTTAAGGAAATTGTATGGTCTTTTACCTGCAATGAGTTTTGCAAGTGGAATGCTGTATTTGGAAAACTTTTTGAAAAATGGACAAATTTTAAAAAGTGGCCTTACAAAAGCCATATGGTGCAATTTTTGTGAGAATATCAAGGAAACACTTACTTTTTTCAAAGGGAGAAAAGAAAACAAGGACAGGTGTAGGGGTTCAAAGAATTTGTACACCATTGGTACAATATAATCATTTATTTATAACAGGTTATTATTTTATCTTTGAGGTTATCATATCAAGCTTGATACGAAGAGTTGCTTGTTATTATATCAACTTAACATAAGCAGATGTCTCACAGATTTTCACACTCATCAACATCGAATGCCTTACTCCAATAACTTCACAAGCAGAATCGTAAGCCAACCTAATAGGGACACTAGTAACTTCTTGCCATATTACATGTAAACTTCCCAAATTCCTAATTCTAAGCAGATGCTTTACACTCATCAAGATTGATGCGCTAGTCCAATAACCGCACAATGTTACATAATTGCTAAGCCAAACTAACAGGGACATCACTAACTTTTTGCCATAATACATGTAAACTTTTTAAAACCATCGAACATCTAACTACAATTATTCAAGTCCTGGGAAGAAATAAACATTCTCCACTGCAGACTGCTGTGTATTTACGTCTACTGTTTTCCATCAGAGTACAAGCCAAAGATGGTGTATACATTCAGGCATGTTCGACATGCTAGCTCACCTTCCTTGAACGGGCTTGTAAAGCATGACCGTAACATATTTTGAGCGAAAACGATGTGTTACACCAAGTGCTACAACTGACCTCGTGGCTTCTCTGTTCTCAATATAGAGATGGTTTAGCACCACGTTCTGTGGCAAAGGGAGGGATGTGGATTGATCTCTTGTTGTTGGGTGGTTTAGCAAGGTGTGATGCAGATGTGGCGGTACCGCCGGTGGTTCCCTCCCTACATCTTCATGCCCAGGATACACATTGTTGTAACTTGCATCAGGTGATCTTGCAACTTCAAAGCCCATGACAGTGGCTTCATCCTGTGTTCATAACTTAGATTTAGGCTTAGTCTAAAAAAATTGGCACTACCATAAGTTACAAGAATCTAAAACTTACTTGATCTTCACCATATGGATGAGGGTGATTCATGTTCATGGTGCTTCTAGGACTAGCTAATAAGATGTTTTGAGCCGACAAAACTTTCCTTAGTAAGTCAACCTGAATATGTAACATGTTCTACTGTCATCAAGGGAATCAAGCATACTTTGAACTCTTAAATCATGAGCTATTTAGGTATCTTTTCTCAATTATCAATGCAGGAGTAACACTTAAAAAGCTTGGAAAAATCCAAGTTCTAATAAGATAAGCTTAACAAATGGTAAACGACATCCGCCAAATAGATCAAACACCGAGATATTCAAAATACAAATATCCTAAACAGAAACTGATAAGAAATACAAAATTTAAGTGTGTAATATAGTAGGAAAATAATGTAAGATATATATGGCACGTGAGATGGAAGACAATGGCCAAATTCAGTAATCTTTCAATTAAAGAGGTCAAACGTTCACCACTGTCTATACACATATCCAAGTATCCCCGTCACCTTAACGTATGTACCAAAATGGCAAGCATGCACATGAGAGAGGGAGGAAGGGAGGGAGGGAGAGAGAGAGAGAGAGAGAGAGAGAGAGAGAGAGAGAGAGAGAGANTTTGAGTTCCTTTCATCTGACACTTATCCATTAGTTCCTTCAAGGACTCAGTCCGTCCGTCTTCAATCTGTAGATGTTTCCTTTCAAATGCTATATCCTTCAGCCCAATCTAAATTCCACTATTCCAGAAGATGAACCTAAAGTTAGCCAAAAATCAGAGCCCGGGGAACTACTAGCTTCTAACTTTGCGATCTTAAAGAAATGAGAAATCTTCAAAGATGGGGGTTGGCCAAAAATTAAGGGTATTGACCTAGAGACAAACTAAACGTCACCTCCTCGAAACATATTGTTCTTAACCGAAGGTTCTGCTTTAATGATCAAGGATCAAATAGTAAATCCAAAGGCTCTAAAATCAAGCCAAACTCTCTCCAATTCCTTGGGAGCCAGCTAGCAATTCTCTGATAAAAAAACAAAAAGAAAGAAACCGAAAAGAACAAGAAAGAGAAAAGCAAACAAAATAGGATAGAATTGTTTATTTCTATTAATAAATAAGCAACCTCAATAAATTCATTTTGTGCACGACCTCAGCTACAACTAGTTCCTGTTAAGCACTTCAATGAATGTAAAGATCTTTAAACTTATTTTCTTGAAATATTGGGAAGTGTATGTGCTTCAATTTTTATTTTCTAGGATGAGAAAAAGGAAAACGAATTCATGTGAAAACCGCAAGCATTAACTTCAAATATGATGCCCTCATAAGAGGTCCTCCCTCTTTCCCAGCTCTCAAAAGAAAATTAAAACAAAAGAAAAGAGGATGAGTCTACTTCTACCTATTCGCTAATAATTCTATATTCTTCTCTCAGCACCACCAAAGAACGAGAGACCCACCTTACTGCAATGCCTTAAGTGCTACATCTAACCTCTATTCTTCAGTTTGGATAAGTGAATTTACATAAGAATTAAGAAAATAAACCATCTCTAGCTTCTTTAACATACCCCCCAATCATTTATCAGCACTAAACTCGTCGTTTTTGTTTTGTTAACAAGAAATCCATGAAGGCTAGTGGCACATGGTTCGGTACTCGATGGATAATAGGCACGTCCCTCTACCCTTCTCCACTTAAATATTAGGCCTTTGTATGCGGCAACGTAGGAACTTGTGATGTGCGCCTAACCCATATACCGCAAGCTGCGCTCTCACCACTAGACTAAAGCCCCAGGGACAGCACTAATCTAATCTGTATAAGACTGCCATTAACAGATCATTAAGACATCCTCTCTTCCTCAAAGAATAAAAAAGGAAAAGAGAACGAAAAACAGAAATACAAAGAAGGATGCTCAGAATAGTAGACCTGAACAATGAATTGAACAGAACTTTGTTACAAACCCTAGCAACTAAAGTTTGCTACATTACCCAACCGTACCTGAGCTGACTTTTTATTTTTTCTGGATCTTTAGGGGACTACTAAGGGTTCAAACATCATGACACTCGATTATTCAGTCTAGCCGAATTTTAAATCAAGAACTAAATTCAATTAAAGTTATGAATCAATAGTTGAATTAATTCCGAAAACTAAATTTTATGACTAAAGCCTCAAAAAATATAAGATAATAAGTCAAGAAAAATATAAATTATGGTTATATTAAGAGAATGTAAGAAATGAATTTGAATAGCAAAAAGATAATGGAACATGAGAATTTCTTCTGAATGACGCGAATATTTTGGATGACATGGATTATTTCTTAGTCACACTTAACACTATCTTATATAGACTTAATCGAAATATGCAGATACTTATTACATCACATAAATTGGAGCAAATTTTTTATTCCATGTTATATAAAGATTAGCCAATGCTACCAGCTTGTGCTCAATTAAGATGTATCATTGACCCTATAGGTCACAGGTTCGAGCAGCCATTGATGCTTGCGTTAAGGTAGGCTGCCTACATTACACTCCTTGGAGTGCGGCCCTTCCCGGACTCTGCGTGAACGCGGGATGCTTTGTGCACGGGGCTACCCTTTATTGACCCTACCTGCCCAATTTTTTGGTACTCCAATTTATACTAGATAAATAAGATGAGACCTCACAACATGTTTGTTCGCAATCTAGCAGTAAAATAGATGAGTTCCACCCATCTGACCTTGTTATTTCTCTCGGCGATGGCACCATCTTTTGTCATTAGATGGTGACATCTGCTGCTAGAATTAAGCTAGCAGATCCAGGGAAGCCAGACCCGAGGTTGGCTCTGTTTACAGGACCAAGCCAAGCCTGACTGAGCTCCCAGTGAGAAAAGTACCATCACCACCTATACATTAACAGGCTTGCTAACAGTAATGTTTACAAAAATCACAACTGCACCATTTCTATTCCTCTCACCACTAAACAAAGGCCTCAACCATGTCAAGATCTGAACAAAATATGATCGTGGAGGAGCAGTCCTACAACAGGAAATAGTGCTAAGGAAACTAGAGTTGCAAAAGGAATGCTATGAATAGTAATATTACACTCAACTGATACATTTCCCGTTAATCTTCCTCCTTAATCCATTTTCATTTTCATTTTCAATATATCAAATTTCGAGACCAATCTTCAAGTAAAACTTGATTGATGTGAAATGCAAAAGGTTGCTATGGTCAAAGCTGCAATAAGCAAGTTAATTTGATTTTGATGAATGGGCAATGTACGGGTGCTAATTGTACCGTAGCAAATAAATACAATATTTTCCTTACTATACTCAAAAGATGCAGGATGATAGAATTAAAAACATGAACTAACCCATCTTGACTTCATGGTGGATTGCTACGCCACAGAAAAGTATCATGGCCTCTAAATAGACATACTAAGACTCAGGCACAAAGTTCAACAGTTTTAAGTACATACAAGGGTTTATAGAATAACCTATTGGAATACAATAACAAGAAGTATATTTACATAGCATTGCATGTATGCAAGTATATAAGCTAAATGTTCTCAACCCAAACCCTACTACTTCTTATTTTAACTCTAGCTTTTGCACCTCTCCCCCATAGTCCCATTTGTGTACTCAAGAAATGCCTAAAAACATGCAGCAAAATATACTTCAAAATATTCTCACATCAATCAGAAAGCTTCGCAACAATTGGACCATGTCCTAGTGAAACCAATGCATTCATATTTCATGATTCAATTACCTCGCCTAACTGAAATTGGTAAAGTATTAACAATTTCACTCCCTTCACCCTATTTCTTTTTATGTCCATCTCTAGAATTGGAAGAATTAAAGAAAACACCTACAAACACACTAGGTAAAACCATTACCAATTGTTTCATGAACTACTGTTCGGTACGTTAAGTTTATATTTTCCCTCCTTATATTAGCATTCTTAACTTGATAGATATTTTTTTATGCTTATTCCAAATTCAGAGGTTCAAAGATTATAAATATGAGCGGCGCCAATTTGAAAGTGGACTACATCTGGGGAAAGTAAAAAAATAAGAGAAGGAAAAGAAGGTACACAGGGAGCAGCAAAAAAGAAATGACTACAAGGACAAGGCAACTGTGAGAAATAATCTACTTTTTACTGTAGTCCTAAATCTAGATAAGTGCATGCAAGAATTTTGTCATTAATTTTAAACTGTATAAAATAAGTTTCTGCGAAAACAATAGGTTCATCTGCTTGAAAATGCAAGCCCCAAAGCACAGATGTGGGTGCCTGGATGCACAAACAAGCATGAATAGATACAACCAGGTGCTTTTTTCCAATTCAGAAATCAGATCCTGATCTACATGATCATGCATGCTAAATTAAATGATCAATGATTACGTCCAACTGGTGGGAGAATAATCCTTTTCTGTTACCATGAAATGTTCAATATAGTTGACACTAACAAAATAAGGTTTGGTTGTTATATGGACAAGATACTGGAGCTTTTATGTTGAGAAAGTATTTTGAACGCTCATTTTCCTTTTTCATGGCAAGACATAAATGTACTAGACATATACCTGAGCTACAGCTCAAAGGAGAAAACAGCAAATCGCAGTTTAATGAATTCACCTTACATGGAAGTGGATGGTTCAGCAAAAGGGTTGCTCATGAAACAACTTGAATCTTGATCTCCCATGAAAAACTGGAACTCCCCTTGAAATGCAAAATTTGCAGGCTATCACCCATATTTATATTCAAGTAGCTACTGATGCACCTTATTCATGCAAAGCAATATGCGTACACGCCTCAAAGGCCACACTGCTCATTAGACACATCTTACTAATAATGACAAGTGGTTTTAGGGAGATCCTGAAGCATGGAAACCACGTCCATTTCCTGACAATGCTAGTAACTACTATTGTTACAGTAGTTCTGTTCTCCTCCACTTTAGGCGTTACAATAAATTTATCTACCATACAGAACACCAGGTGGCCCCAAGATTCCATTACAGACATCTTAGCCCAACTGCTATTTAAGACACATGTTATCATTCCAAAAGTGTTTCAAACAGATGGTAGACTAAAACCAAGCTCACCAGAATAGTCATAACAGCTTGATAGCAGCTTCACACCAGCTTTAATAAGTCCAGAAAGATTACGTCGACAAAGAGCTTTATTTGAATTAGAATCTGATCAACCCCAACCTCTGATAAAAATGATCTAAAATTAAATGCATATTTAAAGCCTCAACAAGAGAATTAACTTCGCCTATGTGAGTCTTGCATATTCTGCCCAAATCCCCGATAAAGGAAGAGGTTTGCTGTAAGTTGACGGGGTGAAAGTCCTTTGTACGGTAAAAAGGGGGATTCACGTTACACATAGTCTATGCGTCGGACTTTCCACCATATTTTTTTCCAAGATCTATCAGTCTACCTAAACGATAGAGGCAACAACAATGCTTCTTTCAGAAATAAAATATTTCTTTGCTATCTATCTTTGGCTCTTACGTAACAGATCCTACTCCCTAAGAAGAGTCATTAAAAAGAGCGTCCGTTTAAAGGTAATCATGCTGATTTCCCACCTTTAGCTACTTCCAAGACTCACACTAGAACACGAGTCCAAGCTTTAGTCAATAGGCGTCCTACTTCTTTCTTCCAACCTCGTCACTTCAATTTAAGGGCAACCCACCTAAGTACCTACGGTATAAGAGATCTGGGGACACTAACCAAGATTCTCCTGGATACAGAATCGCTGGTGCTTGATTTAGTGGCATTAATATGGTGATTCTACCTATCACTATAAAAACTTTAACAAATACTGCGAACATTAAATGGACGTGCTCATGGAGGGAAATGTGCCCTATATAAACCAGAACGAACAGAAATACAGAGGATTCATATAGCAAACCCCAACTAATGAAGGATTAAATTGTAGGCAATTGATTGATTGAACCACGGGTTCTCTAAGGAACCAGGATATCAAGCAAATTTCTCAGAACTAAAAGCTCATAACTTACAGAAATTGAAAATGGGTCTCACAAAAGGAAAGCTTACAATATTCAATAATCGAAATAAACAATGGAGAAGTTCTTGCAAACTAAACATGCCGCTTATAGATTATGCAATACATGCATCCATATTAGTATGTAATTCAAGATTCTCCGGGCATTTATGGTTTACTCCATAGAACTGAGTATTAATAAAGAGTCTAAGTTTTATGCATTGACAAAAATATGTATACAATCAGAGCACATAAAAGTGATCCCAGGTAACTCTTTTAATAGCAATATTAATTGGTAACCTAAAATAAACAGTAACCTGCTATAACAGGTTAAACACATACCTAATTTAGCCGTCCTTTTGCACTTTTCAGTGATCAGTTTACAACTTTCTCTGAAAGCCCTCGTCTTGGAAAAAATAATGCCAAGGAATAACAATCAAATGGTAAATGAATCTCGGCAGAGCCACAAAACAATCTGCAAGAAAAATTACTGTCAAGACAACAAATTAAAATTAAACCCAATCAAGAATTTTGTAAAACCATAGCAAGAAAGGAACAATTTTTAACCTGAGTTCGGATAAAAGGAAAGAGGAGAAAAAAAGAGTCTGAAACGCACGGAGAGAGAAAAGAAACGATTATCGTATTAAGGAAATGAAGAGGAATGACAATTTCTTACTTAGAAAATTCCGCCACAGAATCTAAAGAATCAAATTTTTAAAATTTCCAAATGAATTGTGTTCAAGGAAAGAATGTTATGAATCCCCCACAGTGATTTTCTCCGATAAATTAATAGTAGCATGTTTGGTCAAATGTTTTTGGTCTTTTTTTAGTTTGCTTTTTTCCAAAGTTAAGTTTGTTTGGTCTAAGCTTTTAAAAAGAAAAAAAATATTTCTCAGTTGAATCAGAAGCTCAAAATATAGTTTCTCCCTAACAATATATTTTTTAAAAAATACTTTTGAGAAAATACACTTAGGCCTCATTTATTTTTTTTTTAAGATTAAGATGTATGAATCTAAATACACATTTGAATATCAAGATGTGCATTAAAATTAAGAGATCTGAATCTAACTTTACAAAAAAAAAAAATAGGAGTCTGAATATTAAGATATGTATTAAGATCTGAATACTAAATGATTGAGACTGTTTGTTTTTTAACATTTGAATGTATAAAATTTGTCTTTATTTGAAAATTAATAAACATAAAATTCAAAGAAAATACTAATTAATCTAATATTCTATCAATATATATATATATATATATATATATATATATATATATATATATATATATATATATATATATATATATATATATGTGTGTGTGTGTGTGTGTGNAAAATATGATAGTTAGTGGCGGTGATAGCTAACAGTGGTGCTTGTGAATGTTGACTAAAGACAATGGTGGTGGTAATGTTGGTTGATGGTGATGGTTCTGAGTAGTAGCTAGTGGTAATTGGCAGTGATGGCAATTATAGTTGAGAATGTTGGTGGTACGTGGTAATAATTAATAATGGTGTGTGGTGGTGGTGGTTGTGGTTGTGATTGAGGAAGGTGGTGGTAGTTTATAATTGTAGGCAGATGATTGTTGATAGTGATGGAGTGGTTAGTTGTGGTAGTTGAGGTAGATGAGTTTGTGGTTGTGATTGAGAATGATGGTGGTAGGGGTAGTAGGGATTCTGGGTGGTGGTTGTCGATAATGGTGTCGGCTATGATTGAGGAGGTAGTGGTGGTGGTGGTTGAGTATGACGGTGGTGGGTGACATGGTAATAGTTGATAATGATAGGCGGTGGTGGCAATTAAGTGTTGATGATAGCATCTTAATGAAATTAAGTGTTTGTTATAGATCTTAATCATACAGACCCATTAATTGGTTATGAAGAAAAAAAAATAAACAAACTTAATGATTAAGATTTAGACTTTAAAAACAAACGCACGTAATGTTTGAGATCTGAATAATTAAGATTCAAACCTCCATTAAGTGCAAACAAATGAGGTCTTAGAAGCTCTTTTAAAAGCTTGGCCAAACACTAATTGTTGCTCAAAGTATTTTTCAAATTGATTTGCTAAACACAAATTACATCTCACAAATAATACTTTTTTAAAAAACACTTTTGACTAAAGCAATTTTAAAGATAAGCTAATTTTAGAAGTTCGGTCAAGCATACTATAAAGGAAATTTAATACGACGGTTTTTTATTTTTGCTAACTGTTACGTCCTCACTCACGCTCTAAGTTGTGCATAGGGATAGTCGAAAAATCTTAAAATTGGAAGGTTGTATATATGTTTAGAAGAAGTTAGAAGTAGTTGGGAATAAATGGGAATTGTTCAAGATATGAAAATAACTTTAGCTGCACGTGACCTAAGTTCAAACAATCATAGATCCTAATGTATAATGAATCGAGTTAGGAGCTATATATCAAATGAATGATTTTTTAGTCTAGTTTTCAGAACATCAAACCGTTCATCATTTGGAGATACACAATTTATCAAATAACATCTTCGGGGAATGCAGCGCAGATTTGCGCTCAAGCGCAGAAATATAGCATGCGAGCCAAAATACAAGCAGCCCTAGCCTTGATATAAAAGTGGAACAGGGAGAGAGAAATCAGTCCTATTTTTCGAAGACAAAACCTTTTCTCTCAACCCCAAGTCATCCAAGGTTTCTCCTGACACCAAAGGTGAATTTTGAACATGATTAAATTAAATTACTACTTCCAAACATGGTGTAAAGCCCCAGTATATTTTTAATTAAGCTTAATATAAGCTTAGGAGAATAATTAATGAGATTTTAAAGTATGTGTGGGCCCACACGAGAGTAACAAGATCATTACAATACTTGGGCATGAAGGTAAGAAGGATTGAAGGTCCCAATTTGAATGGTTCAAAAAAAAAGGGAGGAAGTGATCCCAACAGACCTGCATAATCTTCATGCGTAGCCTATGTAGGTTGCGTAGGCAAAACAGCATGTTAGAAAAAGGGAAAGTGTCACGACCCAAACTAACCCCTGTCGTGATGCCAGCCTACCGTGGAACTAGACAAGCCGACTCATTTCCAAAACAAACCGATATTCTCATTTCAAAGCTAATTTCAATGTTATTTAACATAAAAACCTCTGTAAAGAAGTTCCCAATCAAAAAATAAAAGTGCGGAAGAAAAAGCCCGACATCGGGGTGTCACTAGTCATGAGCATCTACTATAATCTGTCTAACAATATCAAGGCTAACTCAGCCTGGGAGAATAGCTAAATACTACTAGATGAAGATAAGAGGGAGAAGAGCAGGGGCTACGATCGCCAAACAGCTACCTTGCTATCTCCAAGAAAATCTGCAACCAGAACACTCAATAACCGCTACCGTGTCCAGCCACACCTGGATCTGCACACAAGGTGCAGGGAATAACGTGAGTACGCTAACTCAGTAAGTAACAACAATAAATAAAGACTGAGCAGTAGTGACGAG